TTTTTTTTTTTTTTGACCATCTTGATTCGATATCTGACAGTTTTGATTTCCAAGTCACTATGGAGATTCCTTAAATAACTGAAAGCTATTTTTAACAGGGTATAAGCAGAGGGGAATTATCTGGAAAACAGAAAATTGAACCAACTGAAATATCTGGCCTGTTCTTTAAATTATATAAATGCTACAAGCAGTGGAAATCAGAAAGCCAGCACTGGTGGTGTAGCATCTCGGTACAGCCTAGGAGAGTGATGCCCTCATCCTTCTTTGCCTCCCATAGTGAGCTATACGGTGATATTATACATAATCCCAGCCAAAAGTTAGCTACTGAATTCCACATGGAATTTTGTCATAATAAACACATTTTTGAGAAGTTTTTCTCTTTATTTATATTTTGTGAAGCCCTTAGAAAATTTCTCAGATCATGAGGCTTTTTTTTTTAAATGCAGAAAACAAAAATGTAAAATTCACTCACAGCATAAGCCCCCATAAACAAACACCAACCATAAATTTCAAACTGGGGGGGAAATTGCCTTATACATAACACACGTAAGTTACTTTTCCTGGAATACGGAGACCCTTTGCATAGATCAACAGTCAGCAGCATGTTAGAATAATGGATGTAAGATAAGATTTGAACCATCACAGACCTATGAAATCATGTTTTAACTATCAGTGGTAATGAGAAGCCACTTTTTATAGCAGACTGGCACAAATTTTAAAAATTGATAATAACCAATGTTGTGAATACATTGTGACGACAGAAAATCTCATTCTACAGATGGGAACTGTAGGCTGATACAAATGTCTTGAGAAGTAACTTGATAATATATTCAAATTTTAAAGTGCACCCATCTTCTAAGACATTCTACTCCTAGAATTTTAAGGGCAGACATACACTTAAAAGAAAAACGTACATGCCTTACCCATAATCGTGCAAGACTAGAAAGAATCTAAATGTCTGTCCGTGGGGAGACCAGTCAAATGACTTTGGGTATGGCCATAAAAGAAATGTTATGCAAACAGTACCATTAACGAGGTTAATCTGTATGTACTGGCTTCAGGGGGGCCGGTAGGGGCAGGGACTGGAGGAGGGTGCAGCATTTGGGGTCCTCTGGGAAGCCGATGCTAAGAGTCAGTGACAAGTCTAAGAGATTTATTAGAGGCATGTCTATGATGGGTCAAGGGGAGAGGAAGCAAGAGTGGTCTGGGAGAGCCTTCAGTGGGGCTGTGGGGCTGACACCTGTAAGAGGAAGTAGGGAAGGAAGCAGCATCGGTGGGAAGAGCCTCAGACTCCAGTGATGCTTTTAGAAAGTCTCAGCCAGGCCAATGTGGAGCCCTGGCTCCAGGAGCAAAGACTGCTCGTTAGCGAAGCCCCATTTAGCAACTCCATTGTGTTCAGCTGCTGGGATGAGGCATGGGGGGGAAGCCTGGTCTCAGTATAGCCTGTGGCAGGTCGCACAGGTGTGCAGCTGGAGGCGTCACCTCACTACACTCCCTCCAGGAGTGTCCCTCTTAAAAGGAGTGCAGAGGGGGCACCCACCCATGGAGGTCATATAAAGACTTTTAGTTTTACATTATTTATTTGTATTAAACTTTTTAAATAAACTTCCAACAATCAATAAAAATAATAAGAGAAAGGTTTTGAAAAAACAATTGAGCATGAACCCCAGCGCTTTCCTTCCAATTTTCAAAACACCAATTGTCAAAACGTATACACAAATAGCAAAGTCCAATGGATGTCTATTTTGAAGGTATTACAATAGCAGTGGCAGCCTTCTGAAGTCTCAAAATGAGCTCGCTATTATTATAAGATTTGCTGGTTTAGTCTGCATAACAATGACACAGGCTGCTTTGAAACTCAGGATATAGCAAGCCCCGGCTTTATTTATTTTTTTTCAAGTCAGAGCTTTAAAAAAGAAGCAGTGGTACCTCATTTCCACAGCAAAATTGAAAGATATACACTCAAATAATTAGCAGTTCTGCCTTATTAACTTTTTCAGTTTAACAGTTTGTAATGTGCAGAGGAAAGGGACATTGCAACATGAGAAAAGTTTAGGAAAGATTCAGGGTAGAGCCTTTTTCCCCCAACTATAAAGTATTGACATAAAGACATGGAAAAATCATTCAGACAAACCGGAAATCACAAAGAGAGAAAATAACTTACTTCCCTGAATTGCAAATTTCACTGAATGAAAGAAAATCTAGGCTCGGCGCCTATAGCTCAACCGGCTAAGGCGCCAGCCACGTACACCTAAGGTGGCGGGTTCAAATCCCCAGCCCGGACCCGCCAAACAACAATGACGGCTGCAACCAAAAAATAGCCGGGCGTTGTGGCGGGCGCCTGTAGTCCCAGCTACTTGGGAGGCGGAGGCAGGAGACTCGCTGGAGCCCAGGAGTTGGAGGTTGCTGTGAGTGTGATGCCACGGCACTCTACCCAAGGGGACAGCTTGAGGCTCTGTCTCAAAAAAAAAAAAAAAAAAAGAAAATCTAGAGATATCATTTGTCCAAATCCTCATACAAATGCAAAAACAGATAATTCTTTAGCACAAATGATTACCAGGATCATTCACATATTATTTTTTGTGAAACAAAACAGAATGGAGTGTATGTGACGGATTCCTCCATGAGATAGTTAATGTTCTCGGCTAAAACATTTCAGTTGTGGCCATACCAGAGTTAAGGGTAAATTCCTCAGTTGAACAAGTATCATCTGGGTTTTTATCAGATGTGTGGTGAATAGGCTGATATTGATAAAAGGCGTGCAACTAGAAAGCCCCCCAAAGTGGGTGATTTCTGCCTGGTCTGATGTGGGACACATTCCATTTATACAATAACAACCTTCATTGCCCTTTAAATGCATTTTAATTCTGTATATGCCATGTTTAGTTATTTAGATCTGTAACTGCATTAAAATTTCTCTTCAGTTATGCTCTACTAATTTTATCTGTGCCTGAACACCAAATGTGTTGACGATTTCTACCCCACAGCTGCACAAGAGCCTCAAGAAACAGCCATCCTTCTAAAGGACCATTCCAATTACTGTTGGGTCAGGCCAGACCATTCCAGGTTGTCCAGCTAAATGGTTGCACTGGGAAATTCCTTGTGGGCTTCTTGTTTTATACCCAGGTATCAGGAGACACCAAGGAGCAATGAACATGAGAGACGGCCCTGGAATATGCTGAACCCTGGGACTTTCATTCCTCTAGAAAACTTTGTCTCCAAGAGAAAACCCCTGAAATAACCTTGGCACTAATGCGGGCTTTCACCTCCATACCTCTTGTTCCTTTTGTGGGTCTTTGCTGGCCTGTATGTTTGTCTTGATGCTGAAGATGTGGCTTTTAGAGACATTCCCTGGGATCAACTCCTATCTATCTCTAACCACTGCCTGGCAGCAGAAAGCCTAAGTAAAACCCCACTAGAGGGCCAGCAGCTATCTTAAAGGGTTCCTGGCACTCGAAGGCTGCAAGTGCTCAAGTTTGCATACTAATTACTTTTATAAATGACTAAGGCTGCTCTAGCCAATATGGTAGCTATGGGTCACATTTGGCTATTTAAATTTATTTAAATGAATTTCTATGTGTTTACTAATACTAAGGAAAATGGAAATCATATAGGTCATATATCTTGTAATTGGATATTTCACACTAAGTCAACAGCATTGATTCTTGCTGTCCTTGTACTGTTTCCTACCAGGTTGAGGGTTCTAAGGACCCGGTGTTGACTTATCTAGGTGAGATGAGTGGAAAATATATATCAACTTAGACCATTAAGCATTCTGCCACTGGTGGACCTATCACAAATAACTAATCATCTAAATATTTTGACAAAAGAAACCCAAGCTCTTGCCCCAACATATAGTGTTTCTACTGGAAGACCTCTCCTGACCCAAAATATTATTCTCTGCCCAGACTCTAAGTACGGGTGAAAACAGCCGGAAAACAAGCTTAGGGAGGTAGGAAGCAGTCGACCCCGATGGTGCATTACATCAGCCTCAGAGATGCTGCTGTCCGCCCCTGAATGGAATGAAGGCATTAGTTATTTTTAAGCATTTCCTAAGAAATGTCGTCACAGAAATCATGAAAGGCTGCATAGTCCCAAGCTGCCACATGTATCCAAAAACCTAACTCAGTGCTGTTGAAAAACGGATATAACTGTTAGAATGTGGTGAAAAAATGGTCCCACGGCATCTTTTTAATGACTTAGAATTTTTATAGAAAGACACATTTAACTGATATTGATAGGTAGAAAACACTTTTCTGAATCAAATTCAGCTTCAGAATTTCCTCTTTTTAGTTAGACTTTTGCCAAATTAAGCTGGTGGCCCATGGCAGCACCCAGCCATCAGAAATAGGGATTTGAACTTGCCTGTTTGTTTTTACTTTTAATTTTATTTCTCTGGTTCAGAGGTATAACACTGTAAAACAATTCACATTTTTAGATGTTACCTCCTAATCCTCGGGGGGCACAGTGGATGAAGTTCTCAAAATCTTATCAGAGGGTCAATATTTTCACAAAAAGAAAATTAATAACTTGCTTTCTAACTTAGGATAAACTCTCTAGGAAGGACAAATAACTGAGTATGTATCCCCCGTCCTCATCTGGTGGCTTAATTCAGCTGTCATTAGTAGAGTCTAGTGTCCCTTCCCTCTGAACCCAGACAACTAGAAGCCTCTAGTACTTGGGATTTGGCATGTTGATTTCAGTGTGCACATGTAATTGTTCTGCATTTGATAGTACCGAGTTCCTTTTCCTCCCGCCAGTTCCCTCACTTGAGTGTTTAATTCAGGCGTCCTCAAACTACTGTCTGTGGGCCACATGCAGCCCATCTAGGACATTTATCCGGCCCGCTGGGCGTTTTTGCCGCTGCTGCCTGTCCTGCTTAGCAACCAACTCATGCTGGGGCCTGTAGCCTGGCCCTCCAACAGTCTGAGGGACAGTGAACTGGCCCCCTGTTTAAAAAGTTTGAAGACCCCTGGTTTAATTTGTGCTACAAACTAACATTTGCATTATAAAAAGAAAACTGGAATGTGGCTTAGTGCTATAGCTCAGCCACTAGGACACCAGCCACATACACCAGAGCTGGCGATTCAAGCCCAGCCTGAGCCTACCAAACAACAGTGACAACTACAACCAAAAAATAGCTGGGTATTGTGGCAGGCACCTCTAGTCCCAGCTACTTGGGAGGCTGAGGCAAGAGAATGGCTTAAGCCCAAGAGTTTGAGGTTGTTGTGAGCTGTCATGCCACAGCACTCTACTGAGGGTGACATAGTAAGACATCTGTCTCAAAAAAAAAAAAAAAAGAAAGAAAGAAAGAAAGAAAAGGAAAGGAAACTGGAATGAAATCTAAGAAAAAAAAAATCTTCTGGCTTGGCGCCTGTGGCTCAAGCGGCTAAGGCGTCAGCCACATACACCTAAGGTGGTGGGTTCGAACGAGTTTGGGCCCGCCAAACAACAATGATGGCTGCAACCAAAAAAATGGCTGGGTGTTGTGGTGGGCGCCTGTAGTCCCAGCTACTTGGGAGGCAGAGGCAGGAGACTCACTTGAGCCCAGGAGTTGGAGGTTGCTGTGAGCTGTGATGCCATGGCATTCTAACCAGGGGGATAGCTTGAGGCTCTGTCTCAAAAAAAAAAAAAAATCTTCTGAATGTAAAGAATTGCCATCTAGGGCAGGCATGACGGTGTGCTTGTGATCCTAGCTATTTGGGAGACTGAAGGGGGAGGATCACCGGAGCCCAGGAGAGTGAACTATAATCATGCCACTGCACTCCAGTCTGGGTGACAGAGTGAGACTCTATCTCTAAAATAAATAAATAAATAAATAAATATTTATTTACATCTACAAATAGATAGAATGTATATATACATATACACACCCACATATATACATATCTACACGTACACGCCCTTTTAAGGATTTTTTTGAAGACATCGCTGTGCCCGTACTTACTCAGTGAAGATTCTCTAGCACCACCTGGTTATTTCTTCCAGGTATCCGATGATGGATACATAAACACTGTGATTTCGTTTTCACCAGTCATTTGAAAAGCATAGCAGAGAAAGAAAATTCCTAATAGGCTGAATAGAAGAAGACAATAGGATTTTATTTTCCAAATTGTTATTTTCCAACCTATTTCCAGTAGGTTGGGTCACTAGTGAAACTAACTTCGTTTTTTGTAATAACAATTCCTACTGTAAGACTTAATGTGAAATCGTTTTTAAGTGATAGCGTATGTCCTTGGGCTGCAAATGTACTTGTCAGTGTTATTCCAAGCATTTCCTTTATTCCCAGAAGCGTAGGCATAGATGCATGAAAACACGTGTGAAAAGAGGAATGGTAATATAATTAGCAATTTTGCAATTAGACAATCAAGACACCGGTTACTGCTCTCCTTTAATGGTCTTAAAAGCTGTTTTAAGACAAATTCCTTCATTGAACTTATAGTTACCTCAGTTTGGTGCCACAATTTTTGAAAAATTAATCAAGTTGGTATATGTAACCCTAGCAACTTTAAAGTCTGGTTCATTGTTATGACTATTGATTTATGTCCTGTATTCAATAAGGTCAGCTTTCCTACCAGCAGCAGCAGGGCACTGATCCGTCTGCTCCATCACCCTCCTGCACAGACCCCATTGTTTTCCCGGCTCTCTCTGCCTGGGCTCAGTAGTTAGCGTGCTCTCCACTGGGGAGACTCAATCAGGGGCAGAAAACTCAAAAGCCGTCCAAAGCTTTTATAGAAAATAAGTCATAGGATGAGAGAAGAATTGAAATGTTCCAGTACTTATAATGTTGCTGTGTTGATGTTCCTTTTTTTTCTTTACAGTTTCTATGAATTAAATATGCAAACCCAAGAACAGACCATGAACTAACTGCCTCTGGTTAGACAGCCACAGCTAGGGGAAGAAAAATGACCATGCCCATTGCTAATGATTGCTACCCTTGTTGTTCCCAAAGAAGAAAATGTATTGTATTGTCTACCTTTATCTGGTCGAAGAGGCTTAAAAACCAAAGGATACAGATATTTTAAAATTGAAACAGATACTTTCCCCCGTAGCAACAAATTGGCACGCCTGAAACAACGTAAACTAACACCTGTTTTTCTTTCTCTTGGGTTTCACCCGTGTCTGAGTGAGTAATTGTGGTGCTGTTTTCTTGGACGCTCAGAATCAAACAGGCCTTCAGCCCCCCTCCCATTGTGTTTGAATTACAAACAACTTTGAGCCTCGTTTCTGTTGGTTCCCTCCCACCCGGGCCTGCGGAGCAGCCCAGCCGCAGCGTCTCTGACAATGCATCCTCTTGGACAATGCATTGAGCTATTTCTCCTTCTCTTTCAAATTCTGTTTCACATAGTCATTTCTCACATTCTGTTGGAAACCCCCCAAAAATTCATTCCACACTGTCATCCCTTTGTCCTAACCAGAACAACTCGATCGTGTTGAAGAAGGCATGAACCATATCAACCAAGACATGAAGGAGGCCGAGAAAAATTTAAAAGATTTAGGGAAATGCTGTGGCCTTTTCATATGTCCTTGTAACAAGTAGGTACTGGGTACCAGCTCTAATCTGTGGCGTCCAGTTTTCTTTCTTTCTTTTCTTTTTTTTTTTTTCTTTTTTAATGTCAAAGTGAATGTCTGAAGTTTTGTCTTTTTTTTCTTTGTCCTTTTCCATCTGCTTCATTCTGTGGGGATAAAATACTTGTGTTTAATCAGAACAACTGGAACGCATTGAGGAAGGGATGGACCAAATCAATAAGGACATGAAAGAAGCAGAAAAGAATTTGACGGACCTAGGAAAATTCTGCGGGCTTTGTGTGTGTCCCTGTAACAAGTAGGTGCTGCCTGCCTGCCTGAAGCTTTGGTTTCCCAAGGCCCATCTCCAAGCCTTGACAAGCTCATTCCTGCCAGGCTCAGAGACAGGATGAGCATGTGGCATGCAGAACAGATCAATACCGTCTCCAATGCATTCATCTCATAGCATAGATGATACTAGTGGAAGTTACTGTTGATGCATTAAAAATCAGGCATACTACAGTGAAAGCTTCACTGTTAGCAATTTTTATTGATGAACGTTTCAACATTTTCCAGAAAGTGTACCTTGAGACAGAGACTAGCCTCAAGAAGGAGGCACCCAGGGAACTTGATTTTCCCCTTACCAAAATTGCAGATTGAGAAAAGGCTGCCGGTAAGTTGGAAAGATGAGAAGCAGATATAGCAAGGTTTGATTTTTCAGAAGTGAAAGAGACAGGTAATTTGGCCCAAACAAGCATCCTGTAAGTTAGAGAGTATGACAGAGATTCTTCCTCTCTACTGCTCGCCAGTTTGCCAAATTTGGTCACGAGGGGCTGCACTGCACCCAACACAGAGGCGATGAGCTCTTTGGCAAATTGCACCTAAATTGTACCCATCCCTCTCAAATTCTTCTCCTTGGAGGATCTGCCTGGACACTGGCTGAAATGTTGAAATGTGTAGATTTTGCATGCACGACATCACAAAACATTCAACTGTTCTAAAGGTTCTGCAACGCTTCTTTTGGAATGTAGCAGAAATGTGACATGTGGTTATAAAGGTTTGCAACAGAAGGAACCTAAAACTGAGGGTTCTGGAAGATAGTCTCATTTGACTAGCAGCAAAAACAAAACAAAAACCAATTAAATGCATGAGTGGATTGTCCAACATGCATTTGGAAAATTAAACTTGTCACCCAGTCTCCCTCACTCCCCTTCACTTTCCCCTTTTAAAAGAAGCCTTTTTCCTAAAAGCTCTCCTGATCCTAGCTTTTAGAATAGAAATCAATGTTATTTTTAGCAGATTATATGACCATTCACATCCTTTAAACTTTGAGGCTGATTTAAAATATCCCACTTCCTGTTTAGGAGGGGGAGGGGCTCAATTTACAAATAAATTACCATCTTTTTTGTTTCAAAGAATGACCTACAGCAAAGCCTGATTAACTGGAATCTAGCTGATGGGAAACTATACTTCTGATCCCTTCCACTTTTATTAAGAAGAAACAAACAAACAAAAAATCACATTTGATAGTTAAAATATTTTTTCTTCCAGGGCAATCTTGATAGTTTGCATTATCTCACTGAGATTTCATCCTCCTACAATTTCCACATCTATGAGGACCAAACAATAAGAACTGATCTTCTGAGGCCATCAGATACATCAATGTAAACCATAGCCAAGGAAAAATTCAATCACAGTAGAACCTCTATAGTTGACCACCTCCGTACATGGACCACCTCCTTAACTTGATCTAATTTTCATAGACCGGACATGCACCACCTGTACATATCAATACAGTAGGCCCAGTTCCTTATGTTGACCACCTCTATATGTTGACCAGTTTGTTACAGTCCCTTGGGTGGTCAACTTAGAGATTCTACTGTATGGCTCCTACCCTATGTCACTCAGACAGGAAAGTAGCTCCAGAGTCTAACAAAGTATTCACCAATTGCCTTTGAAATAAAATTTTTCTCCCCAGTCCACTGTTGATTAAGAAAGTCATATCATGTACCAAAAACAAAATTATTGCTAAGCATTCCAGTTAGTCAAGATTTGACTGTATATCCTTTCCAGTGGCAACTTGACCCCAAGTGAGATTTCCATCCGTTTTGTGATAAATTCCAACAGATATGTTTTCCTCCCTTCATCAACTGTACGTAAAGAAAGTCGGGGAGGCAGGGGCCCCTGGGATGGATTCTAATGTTTGGCCCCTATGAATTCCACGTATCGGTGGTCACGAATTCCTAAACCCGCACGAGACCCTAATGGAGCTTCAAAGCTTGACTGAAGTGTGTTCCCTATTTTGTGTAAATAATGCTTTAAAAACCATGTGTCACAATGCAGTGGCTGGTGGTGCCCTGGAATCTCTCGGCATGTTTCCCAGGACTATGGTAGATGCACAGCAGTGATGTGAGTCTATGTGCAGCGTTGTGGGTGCAGTGGTTTGCCTTCTTCCAGAAACGCGTATTTCCTGCTCCTTTGACTTTGTGCCAAAGATGGTATACCAGACATTTTACATAGCAGAAAACATCACAAAGTCCATATAAGTTCTTTTTATCCCAGAAAAGAGGGGATGGGGAGTTGTGTGGGGAGAAAAAGCCAGACTCTAAACTTTGTTAAAATTAGTTGGGGGATCTTATCTCATTGAATGGACCCATGGCCCTCTGGTACAGTGAATTCCAGCCACTCTAAGGCTCCAGCATTTTGTGGGAGTGGCTGAAATTCTATTGGTACAATTTTCAAATTTGTCTCCAGGGTTTCTTGGTCCCCAATCTGCGAGTATTAGAGCCACTTTTAATAAATGGTCCTCTATTGAAAGCAAAAAAAAAAAAAGAAAGAAAGAAAAGAAAAGTTAAATTCTGGTATCTTATAATAAAAAAATGTGAAAATAGAACCAAAGGATGTCTCTTGTTTTTGGACTAAAAAGCATGTGGTTTCTACTATGCAAAGAACCTAAAAACATCTTTGATTGCCTTAAATTATAACACCCACCAAAATATGCTGCACATGTTTCTATTGGGCACAATAGGTATGCCTGGATTTTAAGTCTTACTCCAAGGCAGCTCAGTGAAATACGGCCCATGGAGACCACACCAGTTCCAAACCACTCTCCCTGCTGCCACCACCCCAGGGTAGTTGGAAGTAGGAGTTTGTAAGCACTCTCCACCCTGCCCTCAGCCCAACAAAGAAGCTACTGAACCTGCGTTTCAAATCCTCATGAAGGCTATTACTGTCCTGCTAGTGCCTTTCTCGAGAATGGTCAACTTCCGGAGTAGTTTGGCTTAAATGAGAATGCTTCACTTTCTACTCATGCCTGTAGCTGGTGCATGAAGAAGACGTAGAGGGGGTTCCCTTTTCGGTGCTAGATGGCTTGTTCTCTCTTCTATTTTCCTGCATTCATTTCACTATGCTTCTTTTACTTTTTGTCTCTGTGGACAAAGGTTTGTACATCAACTCTGGATGTATGGTGACTGTTTGGAAGTACCGATATATTATCTAATTCAAATAACTCTAGAGGCAATTCAAAGACCATCACCCTTGGCCAACCACCAATCCTTTATGCCCTTAATGTGGAGTTGTAAATGTTAGTTTCATACGTGTATTGGAAAAGTTAGATATTAAACAGGGATCTTTGCATGGTGGTGTGTAAAACACTTGGTTGAGTCTGTTTTTCTTAAGGACAGTGTGTTACTGTGGTGTGATGTACACACTCTATTCGGCAGTCTTGTTTTGTGTCTGTCTGCTGGTATGTTTCTCTGTGTGTATGTGTTTTGTGTCTCAAAATACAACCACGTCACTGAAATAGAACTGAATGTCCTCCAGCTACCTTAATCTTTGTCTTAAATCCAAATGAAACCGCAAAACAAACTAAAAGGAGAGCAACCTGGCAGGCAAAGTTTGCAGTCTTGACAACTGCAGTTAACTCAATTGGAAATGAAGCGTCGAGTAGCTGAGGCATGGTGGTGGCCAACTGTTTGGGTCTGGATTATGATATATCGGTATTCCCTAATGCCTCGACTTAGATCTCATTCGCTTGGTTAGATTCTTCGCTTGAAGAAGTGATGATTGTTGTGAGGTTACCGCCCTGCCCCTGTGTCTTGTCACTTACCCTCTTTTTTGCATAGGCTTAAATCAAGTGATGCTTACAAAAAAGCCTGGGGCAATAATCAGGATGGAGTGGTGGCTAGTCAGCCTGCTCGTGTAGTGGATGAACGGGAGCAGATGGCCATCAGTGGTGGCTTCATCCGCAGGTGAGTTTCATGCACCCCCTATTAACAGTTCTCTGTTGTGGAATGTTGTGGGAACCATCCCACACCGGAGTGGTTCTTTTTTTTTTTTTTTGAGACGGAGCCTCAAGCTGTCCCCCTAGGTAGAGTGCCGTGGCATTACAGCTCACAGCAACCTCCAACTCCTGGGCTCAAGCGAGTCTCCTGCCTCAGCCTCCCAAGTAGCTGGGACCACAGGCGCCCGCCACAAGGCCCGGCTATTTTTTTTTGGTTGCAGCCGTCATTGTTGTTTTGGCGGGTCCGGGCTGGGGATTCGAACCCGCCACCTTAGGTGTACGTGGCTGGCGCCTTAGCCGGTTGAGCTATAGGCTCCGAGCCACCGGAGTGGTTCTTAAAACAAACACCATTTTACTGCTAATGAATCTCAAAGTTGGCTCGGCAGTTCTTCCAGGAGTCTTTCCTGGGCTCACGCATGGGACTACATGGAACTAGGAACCAGAAGATCCAAGATAAGCTTACTCACTCGTGTCTGGTGGTTGGCTGGGGCTGCCAGTGAGGGCACTCCTGTTCTTGGCTGTGACTTCTTTAGCAGGAGAGACAGGCTTCTTACATGGTGGCAGCAGCATTCCAGTGTGGCCAGACCCAGTACACAAGCACTTAGCAAACCTTGCTTATGTCATGTTTTCCAGCATTTCATTAGACAAAGCAAGTTACACGACCGCATCCAGGTGCAATGAGGCAGTAAACTGCCATCTCATTCTATGAGTTTAATTGAACAGAGCTTATAAAAGAGACTGTTCACAGGCCGGGTGCAGCGGCTCATGCCTGTAACCCCAGCACTCTGGGGGTCCAAGGTGGGAGGATCTCTTGTGCTCTGGAGTTTGAGACCAGTCTGAGCAAGAGCAAGAGCAAGACCCCATTTCTACTAAAAATAGGAAAATTGGTGGGGCATTATGGTGGGTACCTATAATACCAGCTACCTGGGAGGCTGAGGCAAGAGGATCACTTGAGGCCAGGAGTTGCTGTAAGCTAGGCTGAAGCCATGGCACTCTAGCCTGGGCAACAGGGTGAGATTCTGTTAAAAAAAAAAAAAAAAAAGAGAGAGAGAGAGAAAGAGAGAGACTGGAGTCTCTTCTTTGAGGTGTGGGTAGGGTGAATAACAAGTTATGGTAAAGCACTTTTGGACTGGCTACAGCAGTAATATATCACCATAGTCCTGAATAGACAAGGGAGGGATCCAATAATAGTTATGAATGTGGACATGGGGCCAGACAGAGACATGCAGCCACTGCCAGAGCTAGCAGGGAGTGAAAAATGGAGATAAATATCCTAATCCTTTCCTCTTCCTGCCCTTCAATTTCTCATTCACCATTAGCAAAAGTCCATTATAAGCCAGAGGTGGGAGAAGCTGAGTGCCACAGTCATGGAGATCAGCCTCCTTCAGGGCACAGAGCAAGAAAAATCCGAAAATGGACTCAGCAGTGAAAATAGAGAATAATGAGCTTCTCGCTAATCATTTCTTTTGAGATATAGAAGCAACAACCAACTTAAATATCTATTTAAAAAATCTCAAATTACACACATCAGCCAATTCAGAACTCAGGTCTCTGTCTGCTCCCAGGGAAACCAGACCCAGAGTTCTCAAACCCAACTGCACATTAGAATCTCCTGAGTATATATATATTTTTTTAATACAAGTGCTTGGGCCCAGTCGCCACCAATTGAATCAGAATCTCTTGTGAAGTGGGACACAATCATCTGTGGCTCATTCAAGTGCCTCAGGTGACTCTGATATGTAATCAGGGCCGAGAACCGTGGGGCTAGAAATACACCTGAGCTGTTGATGTTCATTTAAATAACCTTCTTCCCTACATGAGGAAGCTAGGAAGTTCTCCCTTAATTTTAAAATTTTCTCATTAAAGGCCTGGGCTGCTTTGAAAAAAATGTGATGGGCCCGTCTACATTGAGGGTTTTCATGAGGGGAAGATGTTAACCCCTTTGAATGTTTTTTAGCCCATCATCGTATGTTCTGGGAAAAATTTTGGAAAAGTACCTGCTGTTTGCAATAAAATACATCCTTAACTTTCAAGTTGGACTATGCAAAAATGACAAGATGGTAAGGTACTTTGTGAGCCAAATCCTTCTTCCTCCCTTCAACAATCTTTTATCATGGTTTTCTACTCTGAAATCACTCATTCACAGTGCCACTAAAAAAAAAAAAACCATGGCATTAAGGTATGAGCAAATAAAAATCATCTTGAACAAGGAACTCCCTCTGGAGTTCTTGGGAACAAGTAGGATTAAGGGGTAGACTGTAATGACCATGACTCTTCTGACAGATGTTGGTCCCACACCTGAAAAGAGTTGAGCAAAGAGACTCTGACTTAGCACAGAATCTTTTTCTTTAATTCTCAATTTGAGTCTTGGAGATTCTGGTTGATATTTCACAAAGAAAAATCCAACTTCTATCTAGTTTCATCTTCATTCTCTGACCTAGAGTCGTTCCATCTAAAATTATTTAAAAAATAAAAACTGGGACAATCTGGATAAATGAATGCATTTGCTATTCCTTCCGTAAAAGTAGATATTCAAGGGTTCAAAATGCAATTGAAAAAAATGAATTCAAAAGCTAAAATCTGTTCTTGTATTAGATGAAATTAAAGATAGATGAAAATTGATGACTACAAGACTACAGAATTCCCCTAAGCATCAGGTCCTGGCTATTCAAGTTTTATTCCCACCTTCTGTCTTCTAAAAATTGCACTTTTGCTCCCAGGGTAACAAATGATGCCCGAGAAAATGAAATGGATGAAAATCTGGAGCAGGTGAGCGGCATCATTGGGAACCTCCGTCACATGGCCCTGGATATGGGCAATGAGATCGATACACAGAATCGCCAGATCGACAGGATCATGGAGAAGGTAAGCACCTGGCAGTCAGCAAGTTGCTACTGCTTGTCAGGTCTTCTGAAATGACCATGAGGTGACCATCAGGAAGTGTGAAAGGCACAGCAAGAGCCTCAAAATGTGACCTTGAATTCAGGTCCACTGATTACTGGAAATGTTTCCCTGAAGTTTCCAAGACAAAACCACAAGACAGCAGAGGCAGAAATGAGCTGGAGTGGGAGCCTGTGTCTCAGTGAGTAGGACCCCGGCCCCATATACTGAGGGTGGCGAGTTTGAAACCAGCCCTAGCCAAACTGCAACAACAACAACAAAAAACAGAGCTGGAGTGAAGATAAGAGGGTAGGATTTAATCTAGCAGATGTTTCTCGAAGGCTGTTCTATACCAGGCCATGTGGGAGACGCTGTGGGATAGACACAAATGAGACAGTCACCATTCCTACTGCCAAGATGCTCCCAGCGCACGGGAGGCAGATGAATTTACTAGCACACAAAATATAACTCACTAAGAGATCTATAGGGGGAAGAATGTTTATTTAAATAAGAAAAAATTCAAGGGGCTGGGGCTACAAAAATCATAGAAAAAGTTGACCTTCAGGTGAGTCTCGGAGGATGTTTCATTGTTTGTCAAGTGAAGATGGTGAAAGAATAGAATCAGAAAATGGGGGAAAGAATGGTCAGTTTAGCTAGAAAATAATTATGACCTTTGTTTTTATAATGCCAAAGCTTTAATGATAGTTCAAGAAGATTCGGGTTCCGGCTTGGTGTCTGTAGCTCAAGCGTCTAAGGTGCCAACCACATACACCAGAGCTGGTGGGTTCGAATCCAGCCCAGGCCCACCAAACAACAATGACAACTACAACCAAAAACTAGCCGGGCATCATGGTGAGCGCCTGTAGTCCCAGATATTTGGGAGGCTGAGGCAAGAGAATCACTTAAGCCCAGGAGTTGGAGGTTACTGTGAGCTGTGATGCCATGTCACTCTACCCAAGGTGACAGCTTGAGGCTCTGTCTCAAAAAAAAAAACAACAAAAAAAAGAAGATTCAGGTTCTATTTCTAGTACCAACAGTTCACATCCCCAGACCTCAAAATAGGGAACTTATATCTGATGAGACTGAATTCACACCAGGACACCAGACTTGGCTCCAAGGCCCCCGGCGTCAACAAGGGCCAAAGGAAGACTGGAGAGAATAAAATAAGAAGTGGATTTGGGGGCTTAAAATTAGAAAATAGGGGTGGCGCCTGTGGCTCAAGGAGTAGGGTGTCGGCCCCATATACTGGGGGTGGCGGGTTCAAGCCTGGCCCCAGCCAAAACTGAAAAAAAAAAATAGAAAATAGAATAGAAAGAAACACTGGAAAGCTGTTATAAAGAGATTGTAGAACCCACAATCTGAGGTTCTACAGCTACACCGTGGTCACAACCCCATTGTAATAATGAAAATACATCCTGCATATCAGATATTTACATTACGATTCATAACAGTAGCAAAATTACAGTTATGAAGTAGCAACAAAAATAATTTTATGGTTGGGGGTCACCACAACATGAGGAACTATATTAAAGGGTTGTGGGGTGGTGCCTGTGGCTCAAAGGAGTAAGGGCGCCAGCCCCATGTGCCAGAGGTGGCAGGTTCAAACCCAGCCCTGGCCAGAAACTAAAAAAAGAAAAAAAGAAAAAAAGGGTCTCAGCCTTAGGAGGCATTAGAAAGGTTGAGAACAACCTGGCATAATTGTTATTCCACAATCAGGAGCATATTGAATATTGATTAGAAAGTCATAAAGTGTCTAAATGCCAAAAAGGAGACACAGACAAACACTTTACAGGTTAATAGTAATTGTAAATCCCTACTCTGCCCTGTTTTGTATGTTTATTCCCCGGGAGACAGGGAAATTCTTAGTCTGAGATCCTGAATTTCTAATTCATTTTACTTTGGTGAGCACAGAAGGATACTTTTGAGATTTCTCAAATCATAAGGCTAACTAGTAATTTCTTGATACAAAAGCAACCTCCAATGACTCAAAAAAGGAATGAGTAGACATCAGATTAGAGAACCACTTTGCCCTATTTATTGTGTTGTATGTGCCCCGTGTTAAAGATATATGATTGTGTTGTATTCTACCTGATCAGCATTGAGCCACACGAATGTCAATGTTGGTTGGAAAAATGCTTGTGCTTTGCTTACTTTTTGCAAGTTATAACATGCATAATCATTGTGAAGAAGCCTTTGATATAATAGAGCTTTTAAAGCTGTGGAAGTCAATAGATTTTTAGAATAATCCTGAGAGTGTAAAAAGCACTGGAGCCAACACAAGCTGACCTAACCCATTAGGGCCCAGAAAAATAAACTAAGAAATAATTGCCGAACTGCCTTCCAACAGGAAAATGATTGGAGAGAGCAGGAAGTATTCATTTTCTATTAATGGACCCAATTTACTGGAAGATGCGGCTAGATAATGCATCAAAGCCAATTAGGGTTCCCGAAGAAGAGGTTTTACTAATAGAAGGTCAAACTCTTATTGATAGAACTGGGCTTTAAGCAAAAAGTAAATAAATAAATAAAAGTGTTCCTGGAAAGGCAAGTGGCATCTTGATTCTAATATTTTGCAGAATTTCTAGTTGTTATCTTTAGGGAAAGTCTGTGATTCTAGGCCCAGTATACTACAGAGGCAAAGACATATTATAGCTATAAGCCAGGCAAGTGGATAGGAAATAGCTTTTCCAGTTTGTATTGTGCCTGCAGTGTTGAATCATTTAAGAAGTGGAGGAGAGTTCCTGTTGTGTTTGAATAATTCGTTTATTCCAGTCAACACTGTAGCCCTTTTTTTAAAATCATGATCTGCTCATGATTTAGAGACTGTTTCAACCCAGAATTTCCCCCTACATGAGCTGCACAATTATTAATAGACTTCACCACCTTCTCATGGGAGTTTTCATTTCTGATAACAGGAAACAGTGTGGAAAAGTTTCCTGCATGTCTAAGATGTAATTATAATCACACTGCCGGGATAAAGAGTGTGTGTGATGTTTCTCCCGTATTCGTTCATGACCCCCACAGCCACCTTCCCCCAGGTCCATCAGTCATGATCTTTCCTCAACACTCAGATGGACAGGGAGGTTTTGGAAGTGCCAAACAATGACATTTTCAGTACAACTCCATGCACTGTCAAGAAATTACTTCTCCTATATCAAAACCTGTTTTCTGCTTACGGATGTTCATATACATAATCCTTTAAGATTAAAAACATACAGTTATTTCAGAAAACTATTAAATCGGAGGCAAGTTTATGCCAGATGGCTTATGGGTGCTGTTGCTGAGAATGTAACTTAGAAATGTTCCAACTTTGATTTGAGGTGGTCAGTGGCAAGGATCAGGCACACATTAACATGCAGTGGGACTGACCCTTCAGCAGTTCTTAAATTCTTCCACCAGTGAGGAAACACAATGTTTGAGAACCCAGGCTATGGGTACTAAGACGGTTTTGCCGTTCACCAGCTCTGTGACCTGGTCGCTCCACCTGAAGGAAAGTAGGAGAACAGTTCAAACCCAGATCAGAACAGGCTGGAAGTCTGGACTAGGGCCTCAAAGCTACTTGCTGTGATCTGAAGTTGAGATTCCCAGAGGGCTCAGAAAGGCAGGCTGAGCAGCTCTTTCCAATCTCTCACTTGCTCTCTGTGGTCATCCTGGCTCCCTCACAAGCAGAAATGTACAGCATATGTTGGTTATGCCAACAAATTTAGGATTCTCTAAATAGAAACATAAAAACTGGAATAGACGAAATCCTAAAGCATGTAAGTAGGGTGAACACACAAGCATTCTCCAAATACCAGGAAGACATCTAAAAGGAGATTCAGGATTCTTTTTCTGAAAGTACTACTTCGTCTGTATAATAAAGATGCGGTACATTTCGTGTCAGAGACTGTATGGGCTGGAATCTTCATATGCTTCAGAAAGAATTTAGGTGGAAGTCACAGATGCCCATGGAACACATGTCTGTTCCAGTTCCTCCCAGATCCCTTGAGGATATCCAGAGAGTGACCACATGCTCTACTTCAAATATGTCCTTGGGCCACTCCGTGGAGGCTCATCAGTGCATTCTTATACAAGAGATCTTAGAATATTTGCTTTCAGAAATGCCATCTATTTTTAAATGGATTATTTTCTCATTTGAGCTTTTCCCAGAGTTCGGTCTGGAAATATAGTTAGCATAATCCAATTGACAGGAACATTTCACATTGCTCTGAGCCTGTCATTTCCCTTTGCCCTGAAGTGTCATTCTTTCTGATACGATTTGTAGTTGGTAAGGGAGGATTTAACAGTCCAGTAACATTGGAGAGATTATCTATTTTCCAAATAAGGAACTTAAGGTCAAAAAATAGGAGTCTATAGTTCAAAACAAAAACAAAAGAAAATCAATGCTCTATCTTACTATGTAAATGCTTGTTTTGAAAGACAGCTCTCAAGTACCCAAATAGATGGCAGAGAACATTGCCAGATAATTCAGAGTTACAAATAATCTAGAAATAT